GTTTTAAACTGGCACTCTACAAAACCTATAAGCACTCTGAATGTCCTCTGTGTTTATGAGTGTGTATGTGTGTGTCTGTGTGTGTATATGATGAATTTAAAGATGTAAAGTTATAATTGTTCTCAAGACATGGAGACATTATGGTGATTTTTTTCTCCCCGAAAATGTCTACAGGGAGGCATATATTGCAGCAATAACCAGGTGTGTTAGAGAATAGTTAATAAGCATATGCTCTTCAAAGCTGCAACCTTGAGCAATTCATTTCATCTTCTGTACCCCAACTTACTCATCTGTAAAATGAGAGTCTACACCTTGGGACTGGTAAAGGGATTACACGACTTAATGCATATAACTTATGCAGAACAATACATTTTGATGATTATTTGAAAGTTTTAAAACAAGTCATTGCTCTGTAAATGGTTGACTCAATGCTTTTGGAAAATCTCTTAAGCATTTGTTTGAAAAATCTGTCTGTATGTAATGCATATCCTTATGAATTGTTGTGTTCTTTTCTATTATTGTAATTTTAAAACTGTAATTGCTAGTTAAATACTAGAAATAATGCCTGAAACCCAATAACACAGGCAGCCCAGGCATGTTAGTTGCTAAGCTGTGTTCATAATGTATATCCTTGTAGACAAAGATACTGCATACAAATGAAGCTAATACCTGAGCCCATAAAAAACTGATTTGAACAATTTACCAGTGAAGCATAATAATGATTCTAATATTCAAAATTAGGCACTGTCTGATTTCTCAGTTTTAATGGGAATTTTTAGGGTTATATTTTGGGGTGTCAGAAATGCATTTTCCCATTTTCTTTCTGCTGAATCCAAGGCCCTGTGTTTAGGGCCTGGGGCTGGGAAAGATTTTTCTTTTAGGATCCTCCCAGCTGTAGCTCTTGGCAATTTGTCTTACCCTCCAGAGCCTCCCTGGTCTAGCCCTTTTAGGAAAGAGTGACCTCAAGAACTAATCTAAACATTCCCCTTTAATAAATGTCACCTGTTAATTCCAGGAAGCGTTTTTTCCTGGCTCATTTTTCTTATTTTCCCTAATTCTCTTGCCTCTAGAGGAAACTGGATTATTTGTGAGTGTTCTGTGTTTACACTGATGGTCATTTTAAAGAAGGATAGAGTTATAGTGGATCTTTTCCTGTATCCCAATTTCTTGCAATATAATAATGAGAATTTGCAGAAAAAGCACCACTTTTACTTCCTTAGCATAACCTAGTTTTCTTTGAACCAGGTGGCCTAGGAGATGTGACATATGAGCACATATTCTGGAAGTTCTGAGAAAGAACAAAAAAGCAGCCCTCATATCTGGCTGCTGAACTAGCCTGCTAATTAGTGGCCAAGTCAAGGTGCATCCGGCTGCATAAAAAAATAATTGAAAGAACCTCAACATCAGAAGAAGGCAGTACACAGCCAGCATGGGATGAGACAGAACAAGAACAATCTGAAACCACCAAAAATGACCCTAAATCCCCTTCTCTTCCACTGCTCATTTTTACTGAAGACAATGCTAGTCATGCTCTGGTCCTCTCACTTTCTGACTAAAGATTATTAAAATCCCCATTAACCTGATAGCAAGCAATCCAGGAACAAGTTCTTGCTCCTCTCAGCACTTCCAAAACAACCCAGTCTAAGCCCAAACCCATGACCAGCCCGTCTGAACACTCCTCCAAGGTAGCTCATCGTTCTTCTATGACCTCCCTCTGTTTAAACAAGTTCTTAAATGCAAGATTAATGACAGATGTGGTTCCAGGTGGTATTTGATGACTGCGCTCAATCAGTCCTGCCTGGTACACACAGCTGTAAAACAATGCAGTGTTTTTATTGTATTATTTTGCTCTCTTACTTTGTGTCTCATCACTGTCTCCATCACCCTGGAAAAGAGAACAGTAATTAATTTCTGAAACAGATCGCTCTGCCTCCTTAATGCTTTCCTTGCATCCAGAGCCCTGTGACTCTAATACAAACCATCCTCATGGTTACGTCTGAAGTGGACAGTTCTCCATCCTTTGCAAGCTAAAAGAGTTGAGGTTAGTTAGAACCGGCAACATGTGCACCATTTTGAGAGGTGGTTGGAAATGCAGACACAGGTTCACCAAACCGCAATTGAATAAGGATCTGCACTTTAAGCAGACATCCTACGTGTTCCTAAGAATGTGAATGTTTTTGAGACTTACTGCTAAATGTCCCAACTACACTCACACACGACTTTGATGCAGTCATTTGTTTCTCCAGATTGACTTTGGGACAAAGCCCAAACTCCCTGCCCTGCAGTTGAAGGTTTTTTTATCAGCCAGTTTCTTTCTACCTCAAATTTCACACCTTTCTAAAAAATACCTTATATTTTTCACCCATGATGCAGGAGCCATGGTTCCCCAACTTCCTATGTCTTCTCACTTCAAAGGTGTGGAATTCTATCCTCCCCACAACACACCATCCCCTATCACTTTTTCTATGGAGTTGGAAAAACCTGGCTTAGGGGTTTCTTCAGACAGAATACGTTCCCCGTCTTCCCAGACTAGGTTAAGGGCAGTGTCCAGACATTTATTAGCAGGGTGCCATCTCCAGCACCTCCCGCCTCTCCTTGCTTCTCTGTTTCTTTGCCTTCCCCTTGAGTTTTATGGTGCAAGAACTTTTTTCTTCAGTTTTAGTACCAGTCCAGCACAGGACCCGGAACAGTGCAGATATTAAGTAAAGGTTTGCTGAATGAATGCATGCATATATTTTTAGCATTTCTTGAGTTATTCATAATGAACGCGAATGCATAAAATAGTCCAAACAAGTGATTCTCCCTCCAGCTGAAACTTGCTAAAAATTCGACTTTGAATGCCTGAAGATGACATTCAATTAAATATGTATAAGTATATATGTATGCATGTATATACATGTATGTTTATGTTTATGTATTTAATGCAAATACCATTCTTAGATATTTAAGTGCATGCATATCTATGAATATGTCTATGTAAGTTATGTATATATGCATGTATACTGTATATGTATATACAGTAATGCCCTTTTTCCAAGGGGGATGCATTCCAAACTCAGTGGATAACTGAAACCATAGATTGTACCCAAACCTTTATATGCTGTGCATTTTATAATATGTACACACTTATGATAAAGTTTAGTTTATAATTAGGGGCAATAAGAGATGAACAATAACTAATAAAACTTTTTTTTTAAGATGGAATCTCACTCTGCCACCAGGCTAAAGTGCAGTGGTGCGATCTCAGCTCACTGCAACCTCCGCCTCCCGGGTTCAAGCGATTCTCCTGCCTCAGCCTCCCAAGTAGCTGGGACTGTAGGTGCACACCATCATACCCAGTTAATTTTTGTATTTTTAGCGGACATGGGGTTTTACCACGTTGGCCAGGATGGTGTCGATCTCTTGACCTTGTGATCCGCCTGCCTTGGCCTCCCAAAGAGCTGGGATTACAGGCGTGAGCCACCACGTCCAGCCCAAAATACAATATTTATAACAATATACTGCCATCAAAGTTATGTGACTGTGGTCTCTTTCAAAATATCTTATTGAACTGTACTCACGTATTTTTAGACCACAGTTGTCCTCAGTACCTGAAACTGCAGAATGTGATTCCACAGATAAAGAGAACTAATGTATAACATATATGCACATATAGGAATGTATATATGAACACGTTATTACAGATGCGTGTGCATGAGTGTGTGTATATCTATGTTTAATGGAATTGGCCTCTTCAGGAATTTAAGTATATTTATGTGTATATGTACATGTGCAACAAACATGCATGTGTGCATATATGGTGTATATAATGTATACATATGCAATCATGCATCACTTAACAATAGGGATAAATTCTGAGAAACGTATCGTTGGGTGATTTCATCGTTGTGCAAACATCATGTAGTGTACTTACACAAACCCAGAGGTGCAGCCTACAGTACACCTAGGCTCTGTGGTACAGCCTAGTGCTTCCAGGCTACAAACCTACACAGCATGTGACTGGCAAGACCCTAGGTAATTGTAACACAATGGTAAGTATTTGTGTGTCTAAACATATCTAAACACAGAAAAGGTACGATAAAAATATGGTATTATCATCTCATGAGACTGTCATATATATGATCTGTATGTGTCCAAAATGGTATAATGTACATGATTCCATATATACATGCATATACAGGATATGTACATATAGACATATATGTGTATCTGTATTTCTCCTGTGTGCCTTCACAACATGATTGGGGCCAACATCTGAAGGATTTAGGAGTTCACATATGCCAGAGTGTCCCTGTCCTTGCTATCTTTATCTGTTACTCACCTAGGATTACCACAACATGCAGGGCCTTGACTTAGAAGTCCTTGCCATATAACTTCTTGGTGAAAAGATTGGATTATGAGGATATACTATACTGTTATCCATCAAGTTATCCTGCCTAATAGTGGCAAGTTTACTCTGAACATCTTCCATTATGAAACAGGAACAATGCAGCTGTGTGTCCCTTAGGGCTACTGTGAATGTCAAATAAGATCGTGATGGTCGGATGCACAGGAAGGAACTCACAAATGAGCTCCCATTGGTATGACAGTGATTTTTCTGCCTCTTGAGTTTCATTCAGTAGAATCTCTTGCTGTCACTTGAAGGTTTACTCACCTAAGGCTCTCTATTTGAAAGTGTAAGGGTATTAGTATGTTGAACACAACTCAAAACACAGTGAAGCAAGAATGAGCAGTGGTAGAAACAACTTTCAGACAGTGTCATCTCAGGAGCTTCACTAAACAGGGCTTAGTTTTCCAAAATCAGGCCAGCAGAGCCTCCTCAACTGTGCATCTGGCCAAAGCTAAAGAATCCAACACATTACCAACTGATTTATCCATTTGTAGATTATGTCAGACGCATCACTTAGCTTTTATAAAGAAAAAGGCATTCAAAGAACAAAAGCAAATAAAATACACCACCTACCAAGAAAGAATGAACACATAATTATTTGCACAAAGCATTAGAAAATACTGATATTTTATTATTAAAAATGCTGCTGAAAAGTTTATACATATGTGTCCGGCCATATATATCTTCTAATATTACTTAAGGCAAAATAAAAAACAAAATTCCAAAATAATAACCCAAGGAACCATTAAACCCTGCGTGCCTTTGAAGATCAAGAATAAAAGCCTAGGAAAGGATTTTTTTTACTTACTTTTTTTCGCATTTTTTTTCTTTTTTCTCTTTTTTATAGATAGCAAGTATATTTTTTTCTCATAGAACTCTATGAAGATTCTATAACTTCTTTCCATGTAGAAATAAGATATCATTTAAGATGTACTAAATCACTTTTGATCATAATCCCCTGTAAAAGCTAAAGTTATTCACTTAACAGGAACTCTTGTATTCCTTATTCAAATGTCACAAGCCTGACGCGTAACTGTACATATTGCTAGCAGGAGACAACTGGAAATACTAAACAAATACTGGAATTCACATTACAAACAGACGAAACCAACATGGATGCCACACATCACTTCCTTTGTAGTGTCACGGAGAGCCTATTTGTGGTTGCTTAGGTGGGGTCATACACTGCTTGCAGAAATGACCTGATCGTAGCTCTATGAAACAATGAATTGGGAATGAAATCTTACCACATCACCTCTCTGTAGGAAGGAAATGTTGCTTCATATGTGCTAAGCTGAGATCATAATATTTCACCTATTTATACACAGAGAATCACTCTCAAATTTAACCCAAGACAAGCAACAGGATTTGGGGGTGATTTTTATGCATTTCTAAAAAACGCTCTTCTTTTTTCTAGAGGTCACTCTCAAACAGTGATATATCCCTATAGTTCGAGTGTAGGGATTCAGTAATCAAAGGTTAGTTATTGCAAAAGAGCCAGGCAGCTGGGCGACTTTATGGGGGATGTCCACTTTGTTGTAGAGACATTTAAGACTGGATTTCTAGAATAACTCACAATGGAGCCCAGGGGCATGATCTTCAAATATTTTTGGCTACTCTTTCTTGGTAATGCAGTAATTTTTGAAAGACAAAATATAAAGTAGCCATTGCTACCATGTTTCCTTCTACCTTATAATACTCAAAACTTTTCTGAAAATGAGAAGTGAAATGAGAAAATGACAAGCTGTCGGAAAGACAAATCACTGATCTCCAGGTCACCAATTTAAAATGGGTGAAAAATTTCCATTCAATGTCTTGTCAGTGAAGTTATCCTAATTTCCCGGAAAACCCATGCAAAGCAGTTTTAATGTTCTATCCTTTTCCTCCCATTCTTCTATAATAGTCATTGTTTGGTGACCAGAATCACACATCCACAAAAAGTGATATTTTCAGACAAACATATGTTTTGTCCCATAAATTATATGAAAGATTTTTTAAAACTTGCTTACTGATAAATAAGGGACCAAGTGCTTAAACAAAAAGGAAAGACACATGTCTTCCTTCAATCTTATTAGTTAAGCTGAGCAGGTACTTCATCGGCCAAACCCTCCCGCAGCTGCTAGGGAACACAGAGCCGTATTTACTCCAAGGGGCATAGCCCCACCAAAGGCAAGCTTTCTTCTTTTTTTGGCAGGGCCCTGAAATGGGAAGCAACTCTTCCTAAACATATTCAAAGGGCCAGAGCTACAGAACGGGATTTGTATTTTTTTCCCCTACTCATTTCTTTGTGTGTGCATGTCTCTAATTCAAGAGGCTGTAAATACACTCCACTTCGGGGACCGATCTCTGTGTTGCAATTTCATGAAGGCTAACATATACAAATCAAAGTTTTTCAAAACAGTGGTCTCCTAAGGATGCTCTTGCATGCACCTGTGCAACCTGACGGGGGAAATAGGCCACACAGACCTCTGGGTCTTCTGTATGACATCACATCCTCCTACAAATGAAAATCTCATATAAGAAAATCCCATGTCTTTGTTTACCACAAGTAATTAAGAAGAAAAGCCTCTTTTGTTGGGGAGGAAACAGAGGTGATAGGACTAATGTGTATATATATATATATATATTTATATACATACAGAGCACAATGAAAAGCACAACCTTGCTAAAAGCTCTTTCAAACTGAAAACACCAATAAAAGCTTTTTGTCTTGTTTGTCTGCGTGTGTTTTTTGTTTAAACTCACAGCTATATACATTTTTATTTTTTACAAAGTTTCTTAAATATAGTTCAGGCTGGCAAAACACCTCTTTGCACAGAACCGTACAGATTTCGCTGCATAGTCAATTCTTTTATTTTGACAATAAATTTCTACGTTTCCTTCTCTCTGGATTACAGCTTCGCGTGCTGGGCAAAAACCCATAGACTCTTTCTTCCCTTAAGGAGAGCCATCCATTGTGTGGCCCAGAAAGAAATGTTTAAATTTCCATTGTAATTAAAAAATATTAAGTGTCCCTGGCTGAGTTCCGGAAGTGTAAGCTGCTTCCGTGAAGTTGGAAACACCCAGGTCCTTGAAATCGTGATGTCCTAGTCACACGAAACATCGAAACATCGGGTGGAGTGGCCAAGATCTTAAAGCAGTATTGTAACAGAAACGTACACTTTTCACATTTCATAGGGTCAGAAGTTGATCTCGTAATACTGGAAAACGCCAATGAGAAGGGTGCACCGGGACGACGGGATGACTACTTTTTTGCATTTTTGTCTTAAGTCAGCGGGAAAACAATATTCGTGATTTGGAGACTTTCTTTCTCTGTTTCTTTATCTGCTGTGTGTTGCTGGGCTGGAGGGGCAGAGGGAAAGGAGGGGAATGCCGCAAAGCTATACTCTAGTGGTGGAATGTCCGTGGGGTAAGTTGGTACTGTTCTGCCCTCCGCTGAAGGTGTTGAAGGTGTGCAAAGGCTGCATCCCGGTCAGTGTGTTTGGAATCATGGTGATGGTGTTTGGCGTCATCAGCGGGATGTCATCTGGCGACCGGCGCAGCGTGAGGGTGTAGTCTGGTGGGCAGGTGAGCCTCAGTGTGTCGTGCGCCTGCAGCGACTCACACTCGTGATCATGCTCCAGCTGCTTCATCTGCAGAGACATCATCTCTTCATTCTGGATGTGAGCGATATCATTTGTGGTGTTTCTCTGGGGACTGGGGCGCCTGTGAGTCTCATGGCGCCTCTTGTCCTTTTTGTAGTACAGCGCTGCGAAGGCCAAAATGTTGAGGAAGAGGAGCGACGCCCCGACGGCAATGGTGACGCTTAATTCGGTGGAATAATCCCGTTTGGTTTCAATGAGGACAGTTGTGTCCTCGGGCCCCGTTTTGTGAGGGTCCTTAGAGTGCTTGGGATTGTTGGCAGGAGTGATAGCTGGGCGTTTGGTGGTCGGCCATATCTTGGCGGGAGATCGCCGGGTACCATAGGGAAATGAGGTCATGTCTGGAGGAGGGACCTTTGTGGTTGTTGAAACATACTGGAATATCTCGTTCAAGTTGTGCAAATGAGGAACGAGTTCCAACCAGAAAGCCACTTTCGTTGCCCGGTAATGATCTCTCACTCTGGGTTTCAACCCAATATGCAGATAGAGCTGGTCTTTGGGATTATATTTGGACCAGGCCACTTCCTCAAAGCGGTTGGGTTTCGTGTGAATGAACTTGGTATCCTGTGGAACTGGTTGATTTGGATCACTGGGGATAGAGGGAAGAAAACAAGAAAGGTCATACTCTTCCATATTTGACATTAAATTATCTTAAACCAATAAATCTGGAAGGTACAATCTGCTCTTCACATATATTTATCAATGAGCACAAAACACACAAGCAGCAGCAAGTGCATTCTGCTTTCATCCGACACATGTCTACCATATTGTCTTTTCCTTTTAAAATTGCTCTTATTTTTCTTTTAAATATAAATCCTGAAAGCAGTATTATGGCACTTTTATAATAACATGTTTACTATTTTTCAAGGCAACAAATGATCTTCAAAAAAAAAAAGAGAAAAAGGAAAATGAAGTGTCTCTAGGAAAAATTTCAGTATTTCAAGTTTCACTCATTTTGAACTGTAAAACTCATCCAGAGTGATTTGCTCTAAAGGGGTATTTGGCAATGTCTGGAGACATTTTGGTTATCGTAGACAGACGAAAGTTCCTATGAAAGCTGGAGGTCAGGGATGCTCCTCAACACCCTCTGGTACACAGGAGAGATCCCCACAGCAAAGAAGTTATCTGGACCCAAATAACGGTATTGAGGTGGAGAAATTCTGATTAAGAAACTTTTGTTCGAGAAATGAGCATTCTCTTTCTTGCTCAAGAATTGCTGCCATGTGTTATCCTATGTAACAATCTTACATGTTCTTCACATGTACCCCAAAACCTAAAATGCAATAAAAAAATAAAAAAAGAAGAATTGCTTTTGAAGTAAATGAATAGATGTTGCAGTTTTAGGAATAAAAATTGATATTAACAGTCAAAACCAAAATAGGCTTTATAATTACAAAACGTTTGTAAATAGACATATGCACCATTTGTTAGCTATTTGAAAGTAAAATACATATGCATGTGGATACCTTTTGAAGACTGAGTCCAGAAAAGATGAAAGCACACTATGTTAGTGTAAGAAGTTTGGTAAAATGGTGCATATAGTTACGCTGAGGTTAACATGTTTAAGATAAATAACACACCCAGAAACAAGCTGAGGGCTTGTTTCAGATACTATTACAGATACTAACTTGTGCTTGGAAACTATGAGCCAAAGAATTAGCTTATTATTATTTGCACAAGTGGGTACAGGTAGGAGGAGAATCATAAACATTTGGAGACAATTCATAAAACATAAAGCATTTAGTAAACATCTTTGGAACCAACTCTTTCAAAATAACACAATGACAACAAATGACCAAATTCTCATTTCATCCTTTTTGTTTGTTTATTTGTTATAAAAAAGATTTGAGATTATGCATGGTAAACTGTTATCTAGTGGTTAGCACTGAGCATTCAGATGTGATGTACAGACTCAGGCAAGCAGGGAGTTGCAACACCCTGATCAATGGCTCCAGGTCTAAGCTAAGGTCTATCTTCCAGGTAACTCCTCCTTGGCGGGACTTTTGTGAAGCTGCCTCCAACCATTGCATATTGGCCTGCATGGCAGAAGGCTGCAGGAGCAAGGAAGAGCATGTATCTAGGCATTGCCAGACATTGTGTGGGATTCAAACAATATCCTTGACCCAGAGGTGTCACATGGGTTAAAGGAAGATTTTCTCCTCTCAGTTTGATTCTGCGGTGGTGGTAAAAGAAATCATTTCCCTGTATTCAACTTTCTGCAGCTGTGGATAGTTAACAGCTGTGAAATCTAGAGCAAGTTGTCCAGCCAGTATTGGCCTTAATTTACTCCTCTACATAGTGAATGAGAATATCAGGCTTGGAGGGAAGTAATGAAGGTTCAGAGAAAATGAAAAAATGTCTGGCATATGGTAAGAATTGAGAAAATATTATCCCCTTTCTTCCAATATAAAAATTAGAACACCTACAATATTGCAAGGAAGGGAGAACTAGGGAGTGATATACTGTATATCAGAGTATATACTGTAATTCTATATTACATACATAGTATATGAGTATATTGTGTATTACATAGTATATACACATATGCTACATATCACAGTTTACACTGTATACTAACTGTACACTATATGCAATATATGTGTATGTATATATCTATCTATAGATATAGCTATAAGATGTATAGTGTAATAGAGAAGAAAAAGAAAGTTGACCTCTACCTTTGAGTTGAATGTACACTAACTGCTGTGCTTTCACCTTACTAAGATGGTGAGAACAAATATATATACTCTGATAGGTTCTAATACCATGAGATTTCTTATTTACTCAAAAACAGTACATTTGAAAAGGCTTCTTTTTATCTATTGTGTATGTATTCTTATATGGTTTTGAAAAAATGTTGGATTCAATGTAGCATCTCATATTTCTGTTGGTTCTTTAAGCCTTCTGAAATAATTTTTAAATTTTCACTTATTTAATGTGTGTTGAAATAAAAATAAATGAATAAATATTTTAGGAAAAAATTTCCTATTTTTTATTGATTTCTAATATTCTAAAGAAATGAATGGAAGTGAAGATTCTTCCTTTTTTTCCCATGGATCCAATTTTACTGAATTGGTTCTATTAGATGTGTGGCAGCCTCATCTATTAGGCAGTGAGCATCTCGGAAAAGGAGTATTATGTTCACGTTGGCTACTAGGCTATTTTTCAAGGAATTCAGGGTATATTTGAGAGGTAAAGAAAACACATTTATTTTGTTCTCGAAGAGTAAAGCAGAGGATGTGGGAAATCCAGATAAGTGAGCTGCCACCTGACAACAATCTGTCTATTAAAGATCTGGGAGATGTACACCCAGAATTCTTAAACCCAGTTAAACTTGTGGAGATTATGACAGCCAAGTCATTCTCCCTTACCAAACCCTCAAGACAGTGAGATCTGGATGTGGGATATCAACGTTTTGTTTTTTAGACTTTATTCAGCATAAGAAGTGTTTAAACTCCTGAGTAAAATTAAAGATTGCAATAACTGAGGATAGAAGCACAAGTTGTTCTCTCTAGCAAAATACTCAATGCATGTCTTCCTCCTTATCTTCCAGCACTTAACACATCCATTTCCACCCATCCTATTTTATTTGAAATGTAATTTTGGCAGCGGAGACTCAAGTGCCTAAGGTCTTGTTCATTTCTTTAGCTAGAGATGGATACAGTACTATGATCTGTGTAAAAATATCTGTGAATCCTCTCCGCTGTTCCTATAAGTAGTACAGGTTTCCCTTATACCCAAAACATTGTTAGCGGTTAACGATCTGTTACTATTCTAGTTCATTATGCATTCAGTGATTCCTCTTAGGCACCAGGTTAGGATGTTCATTCATTCAGCTTAAAATCCTTTTTTGCTAATAAAGGTTGCCTTTACAGCCAGAATTATGCTGCAACTTTCTGTAACCCATCCCCACTAAATACCTCGTTGGGACTTCTTTTATTCCCAAAGATTTAACAATGGTTGAATATAAGTTAATTATAGGATACAGCACATTCAAAAGCAGTGATGGCATCTGATGCAAACAGGATAGAAATCAATCTGCTGTACAAACCCCAAACTTGATGGAACATAAAACAGTCAAGATATGTGTCGATTTGATTTGCCATTACAAAACTATCTTCTCATTTCTGACTACCAATACCACTTAAGGTCTTCTATTTTATATTATAATGCATTGTTTGGTTACTTCAAAGCACTGCCCTTTGTCATACCTTATAAAGAAACCAAGATTCCCCCACTCCTTTTTGTCCATCTCTTTCTAGACAGACCTCAAAATGAAAGAATCCTGGATCAATGAGCACTCGAATTTTATTGATCAGCTTGGACAAACCCCCTTTCTCCAATTCCCAAAATAATTTTAAAGGAAAAGGACTTTAATTCTCTAGAACCCTTTTCAAACCTTAGAGTTAGTGTAGTGTTCACTTTTCCTTGACGATGCTTCTCATTTCCAAAAACGGTCTCAATCTACCTTATTTCTCCAATGCCTCTCCATGTTTGGGCTTGCACGGTTCTCTTCCAGCATGATTTTAGTACCCTGACCTGGATTAATCATTGAAGCACCTCCTTGCTATGGAGGAGAATCCCTCTCAGTCACAGGCCTGGGCACCTAATTCCCTATTCAAAATAATAATACAAAAGAAATAGCAAGGATTACTCGAGGCCCTGGCATTCACTGATTTTAACATCCTGTCTTGATGGAGGTTTTCATGGTGTAGAGCCTCTGCAGGGACTTCTCCTCGTTTCTACTATGTGTACTCACTGACTCGGCCTTTCTAATATGGGAGAGCTCTCTCACCTAATGCTACCATGAAAACATACAGGTGACATGGTTTGTAAGTAAGCAACGATCCAATTGTCCGACCCTCCTTCCTTCTTTCTTTCCTCCTCTCCTCCCTTCCCCTGTTTCCCTTCTTTCCCTCTCTCCTTCCCTTCTTCCTCTCCTCCTCCATCCCATTTTCTTTTTCCTCCCTCTTTCTTCCTCTCTCCCTCCATTTCTTCTTCCTCTCCCTCCATTTTTTCCTTCCTTCCCTCACTACTCTTTCCTTTCTTCTGCTTCTTTCTCCCTCCTCCCTTCCTCTCTTTCCTCTTTTCTCTTTTTCTTTCCTTTCCTTTCTACCCTTCCTTCCTCCCTTCCTTCCTTCCCTCCCTCTCTGCTTCCTTCCTTTTCTTCCTTCCTCCCTTCCTTCCTTTCTTCCTTCCTTACCTCCCTCCCTCTCTTCCTTCCTTCCTTTTTTCCTTTCCTTATCCCTTCCTGATTTCTTTCCTTCCTTCCTCCTTTCTTCCATTCCTTTCTTGATTCCCTCCCTCCCTCCCGCTTCCCACCTTCCTTCCTTCCTTCTCTCCCTCCCTCCCTTTGTCACAATTCTCTTTCCTTCATTCCACCCTTCTCCCTTTCTTTCTTTTTTCCAACATGCACGTCCCAACATCATTTTTCTGTTCTCATCCCAAATCCAAAGGTTTATGTATACCAAGTATATGTGCCTTCAAACCTAGACTAAAGGTCAAAACCATCTGCTTTGAGATGTCTGTATAGAGGCATCCAGGCACCATCCACTTCATACTGACAAACATGTGTGCCATCAGGAGAGTGTGCTGTGTCTGCAGGTTTAGAACATTTGACACGACACTCACTGAGAGTGGTAAAGCACGTCCTGGCACAATGCGATCCTCTCTCCACAGCACTGTGTAGTGACAGACATGCTGGGAGCTATTCTTGTTTCCTCCTGTCACCTCCAGTGCTGGAAGGGAACAGTGACGGTACGCAGAAATAAGCCCTCCTGTTCTGTGAGTCACTGTCTGAGTGTGTGCTCTGCAGAACGGCATTAAACTTGGCAGCTCACACTGTGACAACAGATAAGGCACATTCCATGCTTTCTCCTTATGGGCAACAGGTTAGTTTGTTCTTTGCACCTGGTGACCAGGGAGTCCTCCGCTGCCCTGGACTGATCGGGCCACCACCCAATTTGCAATAAACAAATAACTAGCAACTGCAACCGAAGCCCTTTTCATCCACTGACAAACACCTAGCTCTCCAGACTGTGCCTGACAGTGAAATTCCCCACTTCCTTCTTTTATGGGGCTGCCACAGAGGTGTGATCACTTCAACTATTTGTATTTGAATCCACACCTTGCATTTCACATGGGATGTAAGTTCTGAGTAATTTCCTTGAAGAATCATTTGAGTCATTCTGATACCTTTCCAATGAATTAAAAGAACTCACTGCATTAATATACTCAGTGTTATTTTAGGGACATTTCCCATGGGTGGAAGAAACAAAAATAGAGGCTTCAGACGGACCAACGTTGGAGCTCTGGGTACCTCAATGAACTGTCTCTACCTGCAGTTTTAGATTTCAGTAGCATCAGAGCGTCTCTCCAAGTTCTAGTGGTTATTCCTTCCTCATCTGCTCCAGTGATGTCAGGGCCTTCATGAAAGCTAGAAGCACCCTCAACACAGACCATGAATGGCAACATGGATGTATTCCCTAAACCCAGCGTGTAAATAACAGGCTCTGAGCTAAGTGATTTTAAGAAACAGATTTATGGTGTTAGAAAGCACTCAATAACAGAGGGATCACTGTAGTGTTCTCACGGCTCTCTCAGACCTTCATGATGTCTTGGCAAAAGCATCCAGCTGCGGCCAGCCATGATAACCATCACCTCACGGAACTAATTAACTTCCGTTGTCTTTTTCTGTCTTTTTTCCTTTTTTTAATAATGAGAGAGCCAGCCTCAGTCTCATAGCCTTTGAGAGTCAGGAAGAAAGAGCTAATGAGAATTTAACAGCATTATTTCGATTTCACTATTGTTTTGATGGCTCTATAAAATATATGAGGAATGATTCTAGCTTTCCACTTAAGATAATCGTGTAGTTTATTTTCAAATTATGTAAGGAGAAAAAGAAAAAGCATATGGTTTTAACAAAAGTAAGTAAAGAGAGTGTTTACATACAAAGTCAGTAATACATTTGTATGCCAATGCAGTGAAGATTGAATGAGCATGGCCCTTTTGGAAAACTCTCATGGAGGTCTTTAGGCTTCAAGAGGATGAAATTCTCTGCAAGGGCAGACACCGCCTATCTTAGTGCTGCCACAAAAGAGGGCCTGGCCCTGCCTTCACGGGGTACTAGAGATTGAATACTGCCTCCGCGTAAATTAAGGTACGCTGAAGTCCTCATCCCAGCACCTCAGTATGTGAGCTTATTTGGAAATAGGATTATTACAGATATAATTATTTATGTTAAGGTGAGGTCATACTGGAGTAGAGTGAGCTCCTAACGCACCTTGGCAGACGCTCTTATGGAAGACGTCCATGTGGAGACAGAGACACAGGGAGGCCGCAAGACAAGAATGACAGAGTGGCGGGTGCACCTGCAAGCCAGGAATGCCAAAGACTGCACCCAACCCCAGCAGCTAAGAAGCAGCAAGGAAATGACCCCCTGCAGCTTTTGGAGGAAAATTGGCCCTGTGAACACCTTCATTTGCGACTTCTGGTCTTATGAACTGTGAAACGATACATTTCTGTTGTTATAAGACGCACAGATTTTTGTGCTTTTTTGTTTTTTTTTTTTTATAAAGACACAGATTTTGCTCTGTCAGCCAAGTTAGAGTGCAGTGGTGCAAACACGGCCCACAGCAGCGTCGACCTCTTGTGCTGAAATGATTCGCCTGCCTCAGCCTTCTGAGTAGCTGAGACTCTCAGAATATGCTACCATGCCCAGATAAATGTTTTTCTCATTGTTTTGTAGAGATAAGCTCTTACTGTGTTGCCCAGGCTGGTCTTAAACTCTTGGCCTCCTCAGTTGATCGTCCCACCTCAGTCTCCCAAAGTGCTGAACTTACAGGCATGAGCCACTGTGCCCAGCACAGACATACAGTTTTTGATACCATTGTGATAGTTCGTTCTTAACAGCAGCCCAAGCAAACTAATAAACAAGGTCTATTTAAAAAAAAAAGTATTAATTTGATTTCAATCATTTCTTCATAAAGGAAAAAAACCTTTGCGTAATAGACAAGCATCTCCACCAAATGGTCCCTTCTCCCTTCTCCTCCTGGTAGCCTTTCTCAGACCAAATCTACAAAGTCTGATTATTGAAAGTTGGTACCCAGATGATACATTTTCTACTCCAAAAACAGGCTGTACTTTTGCCAGGAGCCCAAAACATTCTTAAGCCACTCCCCACCCAAACCACTTTGGAATCCTTGTACAGTATGCCAGCTGCTGAACACCTAGGCCTTGAAACCACTGGTATCCCCAGATCTTCTCAGGATTACAGGGTCACTGCAGTCTCAGAGCCTCATTCCACATGGGGAGATTGACCCTCCCCGCGTGATATGCATACCTCACTCTCATTCTCTGTAAAGAGGTGCAGGGTGGATGATGGAGGCACACAAGGGCAGAACAGAATGATACCCCATCCATTTCCACAGTCTCAGACAAGACAAAATGAAAAGATGCCACAATGACTGGAGTTATTTAGGATGTTTTGGGTTCTTTTCTCCCATGGTTTGCAGAGAATCCTTTTAGCAGAATATTGGCAGACTCTGTTGTATGTGTGCCTTTTGTATATTTTATATTTTCTAGGATATTTAGGCCAATAAATGAGCTTTCCTGTGAGATACACATGTATGTTTGCCTGTGTGTTTATATATGCATTCCATATAGCAATATGATACAAATATATTTTCATTTGCTCTCTCTCTATATTTAGTTATTTATATAGCAGAGAAAATACATATATATATTTGTATTTGTATATTATATATATTTGTATTTGTATATATAATATATATATTGTATTTGTATATATAGTATATTTGTTTATATTTGTATATATAAAATATTTTTCTTATTTTATATATATACAAATACAAATATATATATAATACATATGAGAATATCTATATTTATATATATTAAATATATATGGGAATACATATTTATATTTCTCTATACATATATTTGTTTTCATTCTTATGTCCAGGCGATGAACACAGTTCCCCAGGTGGTACGTGTGCTGTGATATCCTTACAATTTAACAAAAGAGATGTGGTTGAAATTAGACTTAAAACTCTGGAATCATAGTTGGTGCGATGGCTCACACTTTTAGTCTCAGCACTTTGGGAGGCTGAGGTGGGAAGATTGCTTGAGCCCAAGAGATTGAGACCAGATCGGGTGACATAGAAAATCCTGTCTCTGACAAAGCGAAGTTTTCTGTGTATGGCGGTGTGCACCTGTAGTTCCTGCTATTCAGAAGGTTGAGGTGGGAGGATCCCTTGATCCCAGGAGTTTGAGAGCAGCCTGGGCAACACAGCAAACCCTGTCTCTACAAAAATTGATGTGAGGGCATTTTGGTGCATCCCTGTAGTCCCAGCTACTTGAGAGGCTGAGACCAGAGGATCACATGAACCCATGAGTTGGAGCCTTCAGTGAGCTATGATTGTGCCACTGCACTCTAGCCTAGGCAACAGAGTGAGAACCTGTTTCTACAAAAAATAAAAATTTTTAAAAAAAATAGCTAGGCATGGTGGCAGTCACCTGTAGTCCCAGCTCCTCAGGGGGCTGAGGCAGGAGGATGGCTTGAGCCTAGGAGCTCCAGGCTGCAGCGAGCTACTGTTGCATCACTGCACTCCAGTGTGGGCAACAGAGTGAGCCTGTGTCTCTAAAACAACAGCAAGCACCAAACCAAACCGTTTGATCAGCTATGATCAGAACCGTCATGTACGTGTGAGTCCTGCACTTTATAGGTAAAAACTCTGGAATTTCCCATGTGCCATCAGAACTCTAGTAAAAATCTGGTTTGACAGTAAAGTGTTTTGCTCCTAGAACACTTGAGGAGTAAAGAAAACAATGAGTTCCCACAGATGCTGGGGGAGGGGCTGCCTGTTATTGCTGTGTGTGTGTGTGTCTGTGTGTGTACATGTGTGCCTGCGAGTGTGTGTGTATGCGTGTGTGCTCCTGCACATGCCGGTAGAACCGACACCTGTACTGAGGACCCAAACGAGTGACGATGACAGCGCGACCCTGACCGAAAGAGGCACGTACCCAGTTTTGGCGAAGTTCGTCCAGTAGGTCATGACCACGGCGCTGAGCATGACGTCGTTCTTAGAGAAGTTACAACTGAAGAGCTCGGTTGGGCCGATCATGGGGACGCCGAAGACATAGGGGACCTCGTCGCCATGGGCCGAGTCTGCCCAGCTGGGCTTCATTTCGCTTTGGCAGTGATGATAGAAGGCATAGAAATAGGTCGGGGAGCCATACTGCGCGTGCAGGTCGGCGGTGGCCACAGCGGGGGCCACCCACTGGTGGTCAGTAAAGAGAGCCACCAGAGTCTTCCGCCGCGTCTCCGGGTTTTCCTTATCGGCCCAGTCTGTGTACATGAACTTGATAGTCTCCCGCAAAGTGTCTTTCCCTTCAGGGTAGCCGTAAAGGTTGTCCACGAAGTTGGACACGGAGAAGTCAAAGTCATTGGGCGTCACACCGTCCTCATTGTCCACGATGCCGTCCACGAACTTCAAGCCTTCTCCTTGGTTGACACCCAGCATGATGTCGTAGTTGAGGAACTCGCCTTGCTCCATCAGGATCTGGGGGTCGTCTGGGATCACGTCGCCGTCAATCACGGGCCCAAAGGCTATGTGGTAGGTGGCTGGGGTGATGGTCTGCTGGATGAGCTCCTTGTAGTTCTTGTTCCGAAGGCATTCTACCATGTCCGTGGTGTCCAGCATGTTGCAGCCGACCTTGTCTGCCAATATCCGAGTGTACTTGGCCGGCTGGTAGTTCACTGCCCAGCTGGACAGGGCAGTGCCACTCTGAATGATGGCCTTCTGGAAGAGACCTGCAGGTGCAAAATTGTGGACATGCAAATGAAAACCCGCAGGACAGAAACGCAGCTTTTACTCAGCAATGAAGGCTGTGATTGTCTCTCAGGCATGTGAATTTCTGGATGTAGTAGCATTCAGCTCTGTCAGGGGCCCTTTTACCCATTTTCGTTTCGATTCCCCCTTCCCTCCTCCCCTTGAACATTCATTTTACAGAAGGTTATTCTACACACACACATACACACACTCACACACGAGTTTAAGAAAATGAAACCACATTGTCACTTTTCCTGCACTGGTAAAATACATGTGACTTCATTTTCCATCCACAATTTAGTGTCGTTTTTGCTTCCTTGCCTCCAGATGCCATATATAAGAACTAAAACAGAAACTGCATTCCTCATTTCCAAGAAAAAAATGCTTTAAACTAGTAATTGGTCAAAGGCCCTCTTGTCTCACAAGCAAAACCAGGTATGTCTTCATTATGGGAAAATGATAAATCCACTTGAATCAACTTTGGAGTGCTAATTCAGGAGTCCATTTCTATTTCTACCTTAAGTCTTATGAATATAAGATTCGGCCATTGAAATAAATACATTGAGTTAGCTATACCTAAAGAAATCCTCAACTGGGTACCTAAGTAAGAAGTAATTTCTTTAAGTCACTTCCTCCAAAACTACATCCATTGGAAACTCGGAGATGTGTATATTTTATTTCACCACATATAAAAAATGCTCCACTTGGTGAGAAACTCAAAAAAGCATGGGCAATTTTAGGAGTAAAATTCTGTGTAGCTTAAAATTCTCCATCAGCTCAGTCTACTACACGAATATCCAGAAGTATAAAATCTGTATTTTTAACCATGACAGGACAAGAGATGGCGGGCTGTAAAAATCACAGCATTCTATTTACGATTGCTTCCTGCCGTTTCCGTGAATCCCTGCCTGAGACGGGTACTAAAGAATAAGGCATTCAGCTATGAGTCCAGAAGTTCATGCCCTGTCAATTTTTAAGGTCACAGAAGCAATCAAATATGAGGAAAACATGACTGTCATCAGGAAGATGTGATTTTAAAGATTGGAGGATTGCCCAAAGATGACACACAGGTCTGCCAGTTGAAAGCAATATGGCTTTGACCACTATGTCATCAAAGCCATCTTGGGAACGTTTGCCAAAAATGTGCAAGTATTTACTTGAGTGCTTGGCTCTGAAGATTATTTTAAAATGTCCAAAAAAATTCAAAGTCAATATGTAATCTATTGCATACTTTCATTATTTAAAACACTCAGAATTGGGAAAAAAATATTGTGAGAAGTTCCTTTCCCACCCTTCTCATCACTCCTGGGAATAATTTAGGTAGTAGTGTATATACAAGTAACATACATAAAACATTTATTTGTATGTTAGGGAAGTAATATAACTCCTGATAAGATTAAAATACTTGGATAATGAAAAAAAATCACCCGTAATTCATACTTTAAAGCACAACTCACCTTAGTGTAATGACTATGCTGGGAATTCACATAATTCTTAGCTGTTTCTCCCCCATTCAAAGATCTGTTTTGCATAGCCTGATATTTCTATAGCTGTCTACACTGCGTTTTTCCTGCTGTTCGTATATCTTAGGTAAATCCTTAAATTATTATTCTTTTGAGTAAATACATACAGTTCATTATAGCTTTCCTCTCCTTTTGATCTTGTAGCTTTTCATTTCATTCTTTGCTATGATAATAATATTGGGGTGAATATTTTCATAAAACTATCTCTTTCCACGTGTACTTTGTCTTCATTAGACTAGATAATCAGGCAAGAAATTTCTAAGGCAAAGTCTGGGTATTTTTATTTTTATTTCAGACAGGGTATCACTCTGCCACCCAAGCTGGAGTGCAGTGGCGCGATCTCGGCTTGCTGCAGCCTCTAGCTTCAAGGCTCAAACGGTCCTTCCACCTCAGCCTCCCAAGTAGCTGGGACTACAGGTGTGTCTCTCTTTTGCAGAGATGGGGTTTTGCCATATTGCCCAGGCTGGTCTTGAATTCCTGGACTCAAGCAATCCACCCACCTTGGCCTCCCAAATTGCTGGGATGATAGGTTGTTTAGAAGCACTGCCTTGCAGAAATGACCGATGCAAAGGTGTTGTTGCAGCTGATAATAATTTCCAACCTGTTGACTTAAATAATTAACACTTTCCTCTGATTAGTGTGGCTTAAATGTGTTTGATTACGCCTAAAGTTGGTTCTGCTTTCTAAATCTACGACTGTGACTATATCAACTGAGAAAAGTGAAAATCTAGGTATTTTCAAAAATGACTTAGAAATTTCTATACCAAATGGTTCATCAGCTTATTCACTTTTCCTGTTTTTAAAATAAAGTTAATACAAATATGAGCCTTTCCTCTTATCAGCACTAGTAAGAGGTCAAAGGCCATTTGGTCTCATGGGCAAAACATTATGAACTAAAAACTCAAAGAATTCAGAGTTTGGAGGATTTTAGGAAATCCTCATCCATCCTGTCTTGCTAATGAAGACAGTGAGCACCAAGGGACAGCAGGGAATCCCACTGAATGAGCCTCCAGGGAAAGCATCAGGCACTCTGGTGGGGCTCAGGGGCATGGCTGCCTATGCTGACCACTACTTAGGCAGCATAACCATCTACTGCTTAGATGCCCAAGCGCACATCTGGTTGGGTATGATTGCCTATGCTGACTACCATGTCCAAGTGCATGTCTGGTTGAGGTAACATGATAAACATGTGTTTTTGCGGTTTCCCCCTTCTCTGCTTGGCAGACAGAAGTTTTCTACAGGTTATTAGCAGGGCCCCAGGGAGAGTTTGGAGATTCCATGGGGAAAAGCAGAGGACCTCCGTGCTGACTAACCCAGCACGGAGGTCCTTCCTAAAAGTCATATTGCAGGAGAGAGAGAGAGAGAGAGAGAGACAGAGACAGAGACAGAGACAGAGACAGAGAGAGAGAGGAAAGCAAACTGTGGAAACTGCCAGGTGCCTCATGCTGACATGACCAGCTAGGAGGTCCTTTGCTGAAAGTCATATTTGCAGGAGAGGAAGAAAAGGAAGGAGGGAGGGAGGGAGAGAGAGAGAGAGAAAATAACAAAGAGAGACAGAGCGAGTAGGGGGGAAAGGGAGACAGGAAAGGAGATAGTGAGGATGAGAGTGGGGAGACAGAAGAAAAGACAGGAGAGAGAAAGAGAGAAGGGGAGAAAGGGAGAAAGAGGAGGGTGGACAGTGAGAGGGAGAGAGAGGGGGAGAGGGGAGAGACAGTGGCAGGAGTGGAGAGAGAGAGGGTGAGAGACAGAGGAAAAGAGATAGGGAGTGGGAGAGAGGGAGGAAGATATATGGAGACAGACACAAACAGGAAAAGAGAGGGAGAGAGAAGAGTGAGGGGAAGAGTGAGAGAGGGAGGGAGACAGTCAGGGAGAGAGACACTATTTCTCTGGGTAGAATCTATTGCTACCCACAATCTACTTCTACATGAATGTACCAGACATGCTTTAATATTTCCAGAAGACTTAAAGAATTAATAAGAATTAGAGAATGACTTCTAAAAAAACATGTCGCTAAAAGCCCTGATGATTACAAAATCTGTACATCTGCATCCCTCATGGACATACTGTCTCTCTTCCATATCACTCTTACTAAGTTGTAGCTAGAAGTTAATAAAATTTCAAATAGTCAAATACAGTCAGAATGGCAAAAGAAACAAGTGTCAGGATTTTCAAAGTACTTATTTTGTTCCAATCATTGTAACCAACACCTAACCATCACACATTTAAATTAGGAGAAAAATATTGTAGACCAAGCATGGTGGCTCACATCTATCATCCCAATACTTTGGGAGGCCAAGGCAGGAGGATCACTTGAGTCCAGGAGTTTAGACCAGGCCGGGAAAACAGGAAGGCCACTTCTCAATAAAATTTTTTTAAAATTAGCCAGTAGTCCTAGGTATTTGGGAGGCTGAGATGGGAGAAGCCTTAAGCCCAGGAGTTGGAAGCCACAACGAGCTATGATTGTGCCACTGCACTCTAGCCAGGGTGAGAGAGTAAATGGAAAAACAGCTGAGTTAAAAGACACGAAGACAGATTCATCTGATGTTTTGAGCATTTTCTGTTGCAATTTTCAGAGTGACTTTTTGCAACCTGGACATGCATCTCAGATATGAACTATGACCATTCATTTCTTGGTTCGAGGCACTTGCCTGCCCACCCTGGGGGCACCCATATTACCTTCTGAGTAGTGGGATAGGGTCAACAGGCTGACACAGGAGGCCCCAGCCCCCGAGCCAAAGATGGTCACGCGCTTGGGGTCCCCACCGAAGGCTCCCACATTCTCCTCAATCCAGCGCAGTGCTTGAATCTGATCCAGGAGCCCATAGTTGCCTTTTGCTGCTTGGTCACCGGTACTTAAAAACCCTACGAAAGAGCATAGGACATTTTTGGCGGTCATATATAAAAAATGCATACACATCTCTGCTATTTGAAAAGATACCTTGTAGCTTGCCTTCTTCATTCTCTCTTTCCTCAACCCTCACCCCCACAAATTAAAGGAAAAACTGAAGAAAAACTTTTGTGGCAAAAATAATTATATAAATAATAGTTACTGTCTAGGTTGACATTATGATACCATGTCATTTCAGGGTATATATGTGGCTAATATAGAAGGCAAAATGAATTGAAAATATTAATAACCTGAAGCAATCCCAGAAGATGTTGTAAATTTTATTAGATTCAAGGTATCATTACTATGCACATTTTCTTTCTTTTTTTTTTTTTTTTTTTGAAAAATGCAACATACTCCTACAAGAAATTTTTCAGGGAAGAAAGTGTGAGTCAGTGGGGGAGGGTGTTAGTGCACATGTGTGTAAATATGTGCATGTATACAAAAGCAATGTACATCAGTTTTTCTCACTGAATTAGTCATTAACATTTTAACTCCTTTTAATGCTTAAGAATCAAAGTAAGTTACAGATGTCACCAGATCTCACTCATAAACAGTATGCACCTCTATTTTCCTACACAGCAAAAATATTAGTTACATAGGAAAAACTGTAATTATTGAACCTCAGGCAAAAGCTAATGAATATTCACATCTCCCCAACTGTTCCCAAAATATCAGGAGCTGGCCCTGATTACCAGCCATTATTCTAGAGGTCACAAAATCTGCAACTTTCCCAATCACTAGAAGCTAAAATTTGCCTTTAAAACCTCTATTTTAGGTTCAGGGGGACACCTGTAGGTTTATTATGTAGGTAAATTGCATGTCATGGGGGCTTGATGTAGAGGTTATTTCATTACCCAGGTAATAAGCATTTTGCAGATTGGCCTTTTGAAATGTCTTTTCAGGGTTCTGCATTTCTGACAACTGATTGGTCCCACTGGAACCAGTGAATCCTCTGTGTCCCCATAAAGAGGCAGACTCAGTGCACTAGAACTGTTTTCCACACCCCTATCATTGCATCCCCAACCAATCAGCAGCACTCATTCCCTAGCCCCTGTCTGCCAAACTATTCTTGAAAAACCCAAGCCTCCAAATTTTGGGGAAGGCTGATTTGAGTAATAATATAACTCCAGTCTCCAATTTAGCCACATCTGCACGAATTAAATGCTTTATCTATTGCAATTCTTCTGTCTTGACTAATCAGCTCTATCTGTGTAGTGGTAAAGATGAATCTGTTGCACGGTTACAGTGTTCTGAGAGCCAAATTGTGTTTCCTATAAATCATACTTAAAAACCATGTGGGCTTACTGATGCAGAATTCTGAGTCCAGAAAGTTAGCATTTGAAGAAAAAAAAAAGAACTGTTTTCCCAAGGCACCTGATCTGTGACAATTATCTCACTATCAATCTGTCTTCTTCTTTATTCATCAGCACCTGGCCAGGTTTTCCTGTAAATAAGACTGGAGGAGAGAACAGACAGCACACTATAGCTATGTGATGTGATGTGATGGAGCATGGAGAGGGAGGGAAAAGTGGGAGGAAGGAAGGAAGGAAGGAAGGAAGGAAGGAAGGAAGGAAGGAAGGAAGGAAGGAAGGAAGGAAGGAAGGAGGGAGAAAATTTTCCTGGCAAAGCTATCTTCTTAAGGGAAAATAAAGAGTGATCTTAAAAAAATTCTAATGGTGTGATTTTTGGCAAGTTTTTTGACACCAGAAACCCTGGTATTTATTGTAACAAATAAAAAATTATATTTTTAGGAATCCTGCAGACCTAAACCACTGGGTTTTGCCTCCTAATTGTAGAAAGCAAAATCATGGTAGCTCATCAACTTGGAAAGAGCCCTACATGATACCAAAGATGAGTGATGGGTTTTTTCCATGCTGTTCTCATGATAATGAGTAAGTCTCATGAAATCTGATGGTTTTATAAAGGGCAGTTCCCCTGCACACATTCTTTTGCCTGCCACCATGTAAGATGTGACTTTGTTCCTCCTTTGTCTTCTGCCATGATTGTGAGGGCCTCCCCAGCCATGGGGAACTGTGAGTCTATTAAACCTCTTTTCTTTATAAATTACCCAGTCTGAGATATGTCTTTATGAGCAGCATGATAACAGAATAATGCATTCAGTTAGTGCAGTTATTTTAAAACAGGTTTCATGTAAAAGGGGCCTAAAAACAGTAATCACAGTTTTTCCTTCTGCATGTTGATGGAAGTGAATATCATATAAACATGAGTATTTCTATTCAGGCTTGATATTGTTGTTACAATAGAAAAGTTTCCAATTTTTATTATAGATAATAACATAGATGTTTCCTCTCCTTTTGAATTATATCATAGGGTTTAGGAAAATAACTGCAGGTCTTTTGTTTCTCCATGCACTGCATGGCAGTGGTAAGAAACCCAATGGGGTCAGATACTGTTTGTCTTTCAATTAACAAAAGACATTGTTACATGATGTTAAAGCCACAATTCACTTTCTTTTAAGAGGTCATTCCTTACATAAACACAGTAGGCATTTTTTAGAGACAAATAATAAATAATTAAGTGAATAGAGAACTGAAAAATCTTTTACCATTTCAGTGTGTGTCGTTCAACTGTAGCTGGTGCATACATATAATATGCATATATAACCATATATATGCATGTGTGTGTATGAATGTGTATGCACACAGACACACATGTGTGTACCTTTAAACTAAAGAAGTGATACCAAACAGAAAATGTTTAAGTAAATATTCTTCAGTGAGAACAAACATAATTTGTGTTAGCTCACACAAATGAGGTCAAAAAGAAAGCTGTTTGGTGAAAATTAAAGCAGAAGCATAAAAAACAAAAATCAGTCAAATAGAGGCAAAACTAATCTTAGATGGTTATAGGCAATCATTGATGAGTCAACTTATTACAAGGTGAAGCTTCAATTTTCTGATTGAAATCATGTAGGATTTAACACAGGAGCACACATTGCACAGGATGGGCTGGAAGGGAGAGAAGCTGACGTGCTGCATTTAAATACTGTAGCCTGATAGGCAGGACTGGTTGAAATTCAGTGCCTTTGATTTTTAGTTTTTACTTAAAAATGGAATGAGTACTAGCAGACAATTTTCCAACTGTATCATGTTATCACATCAGTATTGCACAGAACCAAAGTCTATTTCCAATGTCAGGAGAGAAAATCTAAGACAATTATAACAGACACATGATTTTTTACATCACAGGTTTCCAAACTCTGGTGCCCCTGAACTCCTATTGAGATTCCTTGCATCATTTTCATAAAGTAGATAGGATCCCCAGACATTGATCTAGAATGAAGCTGCATAGGTATTTTTTAAGTGCTTTAGTTTAAATTATATAAAATAGAACAACTGAAGTTGATCATATTTTAGGAACAAAATATAAAATAATATAGCTTGTTTATGAAACAATAAAACATCAAAATTTGAAGATAATTGATATATGAGTTTCATGGAAATGAAAATTTGGGAATGACCAGCCGGGAAACAAATCTCTTTGAGTCAACTTTGAGTCTTTTTTTGTTTTTGAGACAGACTCTTGCTCTGTCACCCAAGCTGGAGTATAGCAGTGTGATTTTGGCTCACTGCAACCTCCACTTCCTGGGTTCAAGCAATTCTCTTCCTCAGCCTCCAGAGTAGCTGGAATTATAGGCACACGCCACCATATCCAGCTAATTTTTGTATTTTTAGTAGAGACAGGGTTTCACCATGTTGGAGGCTGGTCTCAAACTCCTGAGCTCAAGTGATCTGCCTGCCTCAGTCTCCTAAAAGTGCTGGGAATACCGGCATGAACCACTGTGCCTGGTCAACTGGTCAACTTTGAGTCTCCTTGAACATTTCTCCCGATTTGCTGCTGACTCTCATTCAGTTGGTTGTCACATCCTTCTGGTTTTGTTTTTCAAAGAGCTTGTACATCTTGTCCTTCCCTGGGTCTGCATCCTAGTGCCTGAGATGAGAACTACAGATCCCCAGGACCTGCCCGCTTAGGTGCTAGGGCCTTTTAGCATCCTCTGAATTTCCACACCATCAACATAATCATGATGCTCTCCAATGTAAAAGGATGGGTAAAACCCAAGAAAATGAAAATTGGAAAATTCTGACACAGGAGTCCTAATTCTTTGAATGCTTCTATGAAAATCTTTATTCTGAAGCATAAAAATAGCCACCCAAGGTTCCACAATTCACATGGACTGTAATTTTAAAAACAAACAATAGCAGCAAGCTCAATTTTCACAAACCAGAGACTTGAATGTATTGTCTTGGCTATGAGATGCTGTTTGCTTGCAGAAAGTGCTAAGGGGTATTTACATGCACGGACACAGAAACACATCTAAGGTGTCTCAAGAAAAAATAGTGGGCTGCAGAGTACTGTGTATATTTTATTTTTTGAGATGGAATCTCACTCTGCTTCCCAGGCTGGAGTGCAGTGGTGCAATGTTGGCTCACTACAACTTCTGCCTCCCGGATTCAAGCGATTCGCCTGCCTCAGCCCACCAAGTAGCTGGGATTACAGGTGCGTGCCATCACTCGTGTCTAATTCTTGTATTTTTGTAGAGATGGGGTTTCACAATGTTGTCCAGGCTAGTCTCAAACTCCTGACTTCAAGTGATATGTCCACCTCTGCCTCCCAAAGTGCGTGGATTACAGGCATCAACCACTGTGCCCAACCCATTTATTTTGTTAAAAAATAAAATCTGGAAGGAAACCAAACAATGGAGGGTGATTATCTCAAAAGATGTGGTTATAAGGAATGTTCATGTTTTATCGCTAATATCTGCTTACATTTTGTTCACAAGTTAAATCTCCTTATTTAGCAATCACAATCATACACACAATATAGTAAGTATGTTGGACAAACAAATTCATTACTGGGAATCAAAGGATCATTACGTGTGGGCCCATGTGACCTTCTCAAGGTATGCCCTGCTTATGTTCTGCAGCCTGCAAATCCACCACAGTACTTGCTA